TGGCTTAAAATTCAACATTCAAAAAACTAAGATCATGGCATCTTGTCCTATCATTTTATGGCAAATAGATGGGGAAACAATGGAAACAGTGACAGACTATTTTGGGAGACTCCAAAATCACTGCAGATGGTGACTGCAGTCACAGAATTAAAAGATGTTTGGTCCTTGGAGGATAGCTATAACAAACGTAGATGGCATATTAAAAACCAGAGACATTTCTTTGCCAACAAAGGTCTGTCTAGTCAAAACTATGGTTTTTCCAGTAGTTATACATGATGTGAGAGGTGGACCTTAAAGAAAGCTGAGTGCCGAAGAAGTGATGCTTTTGAACTGGTGTTGAAGACTCTTGAGAGGCCCTTGGACTGTAAGGAGATCCAACCAGTCCATCCCGAAATAAATCAGTCCTGAGTGTTTATTGGAAGGACTGATACTGAAGCTGAAACTCCAATAATTTGGCCCCCTGATGCAAAGAACAGACTCACTGGAAGAGACCCTGATGTTGGGAAAGATTGAAGGCAGGAGGAAAAGGGGACAGCAGAGAATGAGATGGTTGGATGGCAATACTGACTTGATGAACTTGAGTTTGAGTAGACTCATGTTGGTTGGTTGTGGACAGGGAGGCCTGGCATGCTGCAATCCATGGGTTTGCAGAGTCAGACACAACTGAGTGACTGAACTGAATGTTTTAAGGAGTGTGTAAATACCAATGCTCTGCTTAAGTTTATTTTATACACTCTCAATTATTAAAATAAAACATCTCAATTGTTATAAACAATAAAATACTGATATGGATTATGACTAATGAAACAAAAAACACCACTACCTAGAAGTCTTTTTCACACAGAGAACAGAAGGTTGCTTCTTGGTTTGTTTGCTAGGTATCTTTCACATGCAAGAATATGGTGTCATTTGCAACTTTTTAAAACTCATAGTCTGCTTTAAAATGCACATTTAAGTCTGAATGTTGATATTCTGAGCTTCCTGGGTAAATGTATTTTGGGACCATAACACACATAGCTCCTTTCTCTCCTTGCCTTATGTGATTGGCTTTGTAATTCGATTTGTTTTTCTCCCATCTTCTAGACCTATTTTTCTCATCCCTCACTTCTTTCCCGCCTTCCTACCTATTGAAAAAAGAGTGTCTGCTTCTGAAAATGTCCATATCTATTTATAGCACTGATTAGAGTGTACTAAAATTTGAATAAGCAAGAGATATTACATATACCACCGATGCCACTCTACCTCAATTTCCTCATACTAAAATGGGAAGGAAGAGTTGAATATTCCTGAAGTTCTCTGTAGCTTAAATACCCTGAAAGTTTAGTAGTTTTGTTTCCTTTTTTAAGTACTGATGTTTTAATATTGGGACTGAAATTGAAAGTGATGGTATTTGATAAATTTTTTCAGCAAATGGATATATAGAAATATTTTCAATGGCAAGCCACTTAAAGGAAAATAAATGAGTTCATAGATAACCTGGGATATGTTGAGTCAGTGGGGGGGGGCAATCCAATTAGATAATTTATCTGTACATTAATGTCCAGTTAATTATATGCTTTTATTCTGACTTTCAAATTCCTCTAGATTTCATTTTTGGCCGTGTTGGGTCTTTGTCGCTGTGTTAGGCTTTCTCCAGTTGCAGTGAGTGGGGGTTACTGTCTTATTGCAGGGCACAGGCTCTAGAGTACGGGCTCAGGAGCTGTGGCACGTGGGCTTAGATGCCCCGAGGCATGTGGAATCTTCCTGGCCCAGGGACTGAACCGTGTCCCCTGCATTGGCAGGTAGACCTTTATCCACTGTACCACCAAGGAAGTCCCAAATTAATCTAGACTTAATAGAATATTTTTATAAAAATTATGTTTTTGGTTAAGAATTGGGACATATTTTATCAACATTATTTCACTATACAAATAATTTTATTGGACTTCCTAACACACTGATTATCTGAGTTAGCATTGTCTTAATTGCTTCAGAGATATTTTTTCATTTAATTATTATAATGACCCAGTGAGACACAGAGGCTTTTTCATACACTGAAGTTTTAAATTCATCCTAAAGTTTATCTCATTTCATAGCTCTAAAGGAGTGATATTTTGGTAACTCTGGTTTATGAATGATGCATTGAAAATTCTCTTACTCTCATAAAAAAAACCCAGGTATATGCACTCTGAATAATGAAGTGAATGCCTTCTGCAGTTAAAGAGAAAAAATATGTCCCAACATAATTATGAAACATAATAATCTAGCAGCTATAGAATAGCCCATACCCAAAGACACAAACTCTGGCTGAAAAAAATTATGACTATCTTTATCTATATACACACACTATGCAATTGACCCAATGAATAAATATTTCAACTTGTTTTTGTGCACAGGTAAAAATAGAAGTTGAAACTATGGAAATTAAAACCCTGATTTCCACCAGAGTAAATTATTCTTCTATGTAACACTACATTTCATGAATTTTTTTCCTTTGCAATGCTGGCATTGATTTCATACCTCTGTTAGGCATATGTATAATGTAATGTGATTTAAAAAACATTAGTGTCAGAGTGGTTGCTTCTGTGCCTGGAGCAATATGACAATCACATGGCCAAATAAGCTAAACAAATGAAAATGTAAAATCCTGAACATGAGCATAAGTGATTTTAGAAGAGATTTTAATGTATCATAGTGAAGTACACAAGATTGCAATATAATAAGTTTTTAACACATAAAGAATGATTATAATAATTAAAATAAAGCCCTTCCTATGCATTCTATATAATACATGCCATTACAATTGAAAAAAAAAAAAAAGCCTCTTCAAGGTCACAGCTAGCCTGTAATAAATTTTTGTTAAATTTGTTGACGTATTTACCATTGTTCTGATTTCCAAGCAAGCAAAAACTTCATTAAAGAAAAGGCAATTAATTTCAAAAAGCTTTAAATTTCAACTAATGAGGCTACAGGATTCATTACCAGTGAAGGTCACAGAGCTCAATAGAGTCCTGAACTTGTTTTTATCTCCAGTTGTATGACTGACTGGCAGAGTTGAACATTATAAAGTCTATCACTCAGAAACCAATCAAGCTGCCACCCAGCAACAGGACCACAGCCAGGCAGCTAATCAGAGCAGCATCAAAGTAGATTCTATGGACCACGTACATCGTGCAAAGTGAAAGTTGCTCAGTCGTGTAGGACTCTTTGCTGCCTCATGGGCTATACAGTCCATGGAATTCTCCAGACCAGAATACTGGAGTGGGTAGCTGGTTCCCTTTTCCAGGGGATCTTCCCAATCCAGAGATCCAATCCATGTCTCCTGCATTACAGGTGGATTCTTTACCAGCTGACCACCAGGGAAGCCCAAGAATACTGGAATGGGGAGCCTATCCCTTCTCCAGCAGATTTTCCTGACCCAGGAATTGAACCTGGGTCTCCTGCATTGCAGGGGGATTCTTTATTAGCTGAGCTACCAGGGAATCCCCATGTACATCATATTAAGTTCCAATTTCTTTTTCAAATGATTTAACTCTAATTTTGTAAAAATGTTTACTTACATATTGAAAGTGCCCAATGCTTCTTAATGAGAAATTCACATCTTACTATCTTAGTTAACACTTTTATACTCTTTTAAAAATCCACTGGGAATAAAATATTTTACTTAATAAATCAACAAAGTACCAAAAGCAACTTATGATTATGGTATTGACAGAATATGCCATATAGAAATCAATGAAAAGTTGAAAAGTACCAAGTAAACTATCTTCTGATGGCTGCACTGGTATTGAAAAGTATTTCCTAAACATATTTTGATAGTCATTTATTTGTTCCTTTATTAATATCTATGTTCATTTACTTATCCTCCCATTCATTTGTGAACAGTTAAATAGCTATATAACAGTAAATATTATATAAGGTGGTAGGAATAAGAAAATAAATATAAAATGGGCCCTCCCTAAAGAAATTTAGACTCCACTGAAGAGAGTAAAGTTCACACTCCAAGTAAAATAAGTGTCATTAGCGCTGCTATCAAAGACGACTTCCAGAGAACAATGAACACTTGATCAATGTAACTCACCTTCATAAAGATGTATTTTTAAAAAATCTCCTCTTCTAGAGGCATCAGCAGCTTTTAAAGCTCGCCAGGTGATTCCAAGCGCAGCCAGGAGAGGGATCAGGCTGGTTGACATTTGTGGAGAAGCCGAGCTGTGGCATGGGCCTCCCTCAGGGAAAGCAGGGATAAATTGTCACCGTCTCGGCAGAACCCCAGGAAAAGCAATGAAGAGAAGCCACCTGCCTTAGGGTACCTTGGGCAATGTGGGGACAAAACCTGACTCTCTTACCTTCATGCCGGTCCTGGCCTCCCTGCTCGCGTTTTCTTAGGAGCAGATGCTTTCTTTCAGGATTTGATTTCAGTGCCACTTGCTCCCAGAATCTAGAGTGGGGAGCTGAGACACATGTGATCAGCAGGCTTTTCAGTCACCCTGAGTTCATTCATTCAACAAATACACACGGCGGCTCTTGGAGGGCACAGGGAGTTGTGTCTGTTTTGTGTTTCCTGCATGGAGTGAAATAAAGTGTTGCCAATATCGACAGCAGCTTCCTGAGGGCATCTGCCGTCTCTACTCCAGAGGTAAGCTGCAAATGGAACTTGACGACTCTCATTTCTATATGGACCCTTATGTTTATATGACCTCGCTGTGTCTGGCTCCCTAAACTTCGGTGATGTACATCCTTGTGACCCTGCCATCTGGCTGTGGCTGCCCTTGACCTCAACCACAAGTTTGTGAGGCTCCCATCATTGGCACCTGGGTCCTGCCTCATGCATCTTCCCTGTTGTTTGGACTGTACGGTATTAGGGCAGCAGAAGGAACTGATCCATCTTTCTTCTAAACCCAGTCTGTGGGTGTCTCATTGGATCCTCAGAGTAACCCTGCAAGCCTGGCCCTGAAGGGTGGAGCCAAAGTCATCAGGAAACAGAGAGTTCTCAGCCAGCAGTATTATGCTTACCTGTATCAGATGTCTTAGGGAACAAATTTAGTATATTAAGATCACCAGGATCTGTTGTTTTCTGGAATGGAAATTGGCCTATTCCAGGAGAGTGAATCCCAAAGGTGGCTGCATTGTCCATGGGCTTCTCTGTGAAAGAAGACCTTTCTTAGCCAGCCCTTGAAGTAGGTAACCTACTCCACCATCCCCAGGCTGCTGTGATGGTGATGGTGGAAGCAGTGGGCAAGCTTGCTCTCCCCCTAGGCAGTGTCATTTCATACCCTTTGGAGAATGCAGTTCCTTTTAGTCTTGACAGCGTGGCAAATTCCGTTCACTCCTTATTTTTGAAGAAACTCTGGCGGTTTTGCAGTTGGCTCCCAGTAAGGAAAGAGTGTACATGGTGGGGAAAGCAAACTCGGTTTTTAAAGATCTCTCAGTAATGCTCAGACAGCTCCACGATCGACTGTTTCAAGAAACCTCTGCTCTCACTTCACTTCCCCTCAATTCTCTGAGTAGGAACAATGAAGTTGATCTCCTTTTTCTTTCTGAACTGCAAGTGTTGCATGATATTTCAGGTTTGTTGTCCCAACGTAAGCATCTAGCCAAGGATCATTCTCCTGATTTATACTCACCGGAGCTACCAGGTCTGGATGAAATTGGGAAAAATTATGGGCATGACTCGGAACAATTCAGAGATGCCTCTAAGATCCTCGTTGATGCTCTGCAAAAGTGTGCAGATGGCATGTACAGTCTCTATGGTGGGAATGCAGTGGTAGAGTTAGGGATTGTCAGATCATTCGACACATCCTTTATGAGGAAGCCAAAGACTATCCTTAAGACAAAACAAGTGAAGGACCCCTCATCTCCCTATAACCTTGCCTATAAATATAATTTCGAATGTCCAGTGGTTTTCAACCTGGTACTTTGGACAATGATCAGCTTGGCCTTGACTCTGATTGTCAACTGTTACAATATTTGGAATATGGATCCTGGAAATGATAGCATCATTTATAGGATGACAAACCAGAAGATTTAAATAGATTGAACTTTCCTTACGCCAAACTTGGAAAGAAAGAGGGTTTTGAATTGGCTGTTTCATCGAAATAAATCTTTTAGTGTAGTTTAAACTATATAATACACTTTAAATTTATAAAAAATCAAATTTTGTTATCTTTTGTGTGTGCCTCTGATGTTCTTTTAGAGTGAATTATATAGTATTTATGTGAGGTGACTTTTGCGATATAGATTCCATAATATACTCAAATATGATGATATAGCCATTTAATATAATTTTATTCCATTTACTATTTGGAAATATGCACTGTAATAAGTAACATTTAGAATAGTTTGTGTTATTTATGTTGGGATAATGTGCTGAATTCGAAATGTTTAACTTCCTTACACAGGACTGGTTAAAAGTGATATTTGGGCTGTTATATACCATGAACCATTTCTAAATGTCTTAATGTAAATATTTCTGAAACAGGAAAAGGTTTTTAACTTCAAGCAGCTATTAACTATGAATATGCTTACACAGTCACTCAGATTTGGAATTGCATCTGATTGACAGATGATAGCTATTATTTTAATCTCTCCCAAAAGTTTGGTGATCTGAATGGTCAAGTGTGGGTATTAAACATACTACATTGATATAAGAAGGAACTAGCTTTGTGGAGTTATAGACACCTGTAATCATATACACAAAAACATTTGGGGGACATCTTGGGGCATGATTTCAGTCATTTTTCCCCTTGTGTAAGTTACTCTGGTTTACAGTACAAAATCGTTCCATAGAAAGTTAAGTGGAAAGTAATTAGCCTCCAACTAATTAAAAAAAAAAAGAGAGAGAGAAAAAAAATAAAATAAAATTTATCAGCTAAAAAAAAAAAAAAGAAAGTTAAGTGGAAGTAGATACTCCCTACTTTTTATGGAAAAGTGGACCAATGTCTATAAAGAGTGACAAAGTTAATCATGATTCAAAAAAAAATCTAACATTCTTGTGCAGGAGTTTTTTGTTGGAACACTGTTCTGTTCTGACCAACAGTTTTCCACTGTTGGTCTGTTCTGACCAACTAGGCTCTACCTGAACTTGAAAATCTATAAATTGTGTATGTGTTTGTGCATATGTTTATATTCATATTTAATACTATGCTGTCCACATTTTAAAATATGACATTTAGAAGTTATAAAATATAGGAAGACTAGTTTAAAGCCTACTGAATTATATTGACAATCTATTATGAGTCTCTGAATTACATCATCAGTATTACTGACAGCAAAGGAGGTGATATATACAATTGTGTAAAGAGAAGAGTAGTCAGAACTTGTGTCTTATTGGGTATTAAGAGTTGAAGGAGAAAAAGATCTCTAGCTTAGATAAATAGATTCTATCCTTTGAAATAAGGGAAACAGATTTGAGGAGAACTGGTTTGAGGAATAAGTTGATTTTTATATGCCTGGATAACTTCTAACAGAAGAATTTCAAGGAGTCTAATAGGTAAATGAGAATGGAACTCACATATAGCCATTTGGTCAGCATTTCCAACTTTAACCACAGAGAGTGAAACAATTAGTTTTGTGAGTTTCAAATAATAAATCTGTAATTATATATATTTCATTTCAGTGAATATTTGACTTCTTCAAAGCAGCTAAAATGAAAACCTAAAATGTTACTACTTAAAATTCAATAAATGCAATGTAAAAGAAATTTAAATAATTAAACTCTCAAATATTTTCAATTCATATCATCCATAATTATGAAACTATTAAAGCTTAAAATTGTAATAAGAATTATGAGCACTCTGTCTTAAAATATGGTGTGAAGAAACACATGAAAAGATGCTCAATATCACTCAGTATTAGAGAAAGGCAAATACTACAATGAAATATCACCTCACAGCCATCAGAACAGCCATCATGAAAAATCTACAAACAACTCTTGCACTGTTAGTAAGAATGTAAATGGATACAGCCACTATAGAGAATGGAATGGAGATTCCTTTAAAAAAAAAAAAAAACTATGGATAAAACTACCATATGACCCAGCAAACCCACTATTGGGCATATACTCTGAGAAAACCATAATTCAAAAAGACACATGTATCCCCCTGTTCATTGCAACACTATTTACACTAGCTATGACACAGAAGCAACCGAGATGTCCATCACAGATGAATGGATAAAGAATCATGGTACATGCATACAATGGAATATTACTCAACCATAAAAAGGAATGAATTTGAGTCAGTTCTAGTGAAGTGATGAACCTAAAGCCTGTTATACAGAGTGAAGTAGGTCAGGAAGAGAAAAACAAATATATCAACACATATACATGGCCTGAAGAAGAAAATATTTAATGAATGACAATCAGACTTGAACTTCCCTTGCTGTCAAGTGGTTAAGATGCCACGCTTCCACTGCAGAGAACCCNAAGTTAGAATAAAACTGAAAAATTCAGTGAATATTTTACACCAACGAAGAAACTAGTTCTATATGAATGCTGCAAGTGAAAACTAAAATCTTAAAGGTTCAGGGTATAATGAAAGTGAGAAAGTGAACACAGAGATGGTCATTTATATTGTAGAAAAACTGAAACTGTTAGTCACTCAGTCAGATCTGACTCTGTAACCCCATGGACTGTAGCCTGCCAGGCTCCTCTGTCCTTGGGATTCTCCAAGCAGAAATACTGGAGTGGGTTGCCATTTCCTTCTTCAGGGGATCTCCCAGAGGCAGGGATCAAACCCGGGTGTCCCACATGGACGGCATATTCTTTACCATATTGTAGAGAAACTGATTGGAAAGGGAAGGAGATAGGGAAATAGTTAGAAAACTTTATGGTCAAGAAACTTGTTACATTTTCTCTATTTTTAGTTTTAAGTCAGCTTCAAACACTGACAAGCTTTTCAGCTGTTAACACAGATTTTCCAGCTATTAACACAGAATCCAGTGAAGAAGGATGGACTGAATGTATAGGAGAGAAGAGAAAAAAATATTTGAACAAAACCCTGGAATAAACGGAAGTGATCAAATCAGGATAAGAGATAAAGAATGCAGCTTTGAAAGATTACAGGAGAAAGGATGATGCATTTATAAGTACAGAGGCAAAATTTTAAAATATTTGCTTGGGGAATTACCTTTCAGAGTCTTTTTTTTTTTCATTTTCTATTTGTGTATTGGACATGACATAGAATTAAGTATCATCCAAGTTCAAACTCTACCTAATACTTACTAGCTGAGGGACCAACAGCAAATAAAATCTGTGAAAATTTGTTTCCTCATTTGAATGATTGAAACAATAATTTCTATCTTAAGTAGTCCCTGTGATAACTAAATGAGATAAGCAAATTTTGCTCTCCTTCTAGTAAGACACACAGTTACCAATGTGTTTTAATTTTTCAATGAACTGATCTTAGATTATTAAAGAAAATACTTGTAAAGATTTCCATTATAATGTGCATTTGTTTTTTTGCTACCATAAAATGTGTTTGAATTTGAAAAACAATTTCCTTCCCCTTTTAGCAACTCTCCTAGATGAACACAATGAGACATGAAGTTAGATAAGATAATAAATGTGTTTTTAATTATTTATTTTTCAAAATTCAGTACCTATGGTGGATGGTGGAATGCAAGAATGCTCTCTAAATTATACTTAAATTAATATTAGAAAAAATTTTGCTATAGTAATCTTTTTCAAAAATAGCTAGTTACAGTTATTTAGTCCTCCTCTCTTCTGTTTATATTTTAGCCTTTTTAAAACAAGACTGATTTGAAGGAGAAAAATCATAGTTTTGCCTTCCTGGCAGGACTGCCAAATGATGGCACTAAAGAATAAAACTTTAATTTTCTGAATATTCCTTAAGACACATACATCTATAGCTCCCTTGTGAGTTTTAAGAATACTGTCTATAAGTGCTAGTTTTCTCTTACAACTTCTGAAAATAAATTATACATGAACCATGAATCTTTGCCCTCTCACCTGGGAGACACTTCAAAAACAAGAATAAAGAAAAAGATTCAATTATAAAAATGAATAAATAAATAAAAGCTGAATGTTTTATCAAATTACCATACATTTGGGGAAAGTATTTATCTTTACAAAATTCATTAAAATTCATATCCATCTCTAAATTTATCATGTCTACTTCCCCATTGTCCTCCTCTTCTAGCCCCCAAATAAACAAAACCACCAACCAGTCAAAATATACACTGTTTTATTCTACATTTGGTCAAAATCTCTCTCTTTACCAAAATATCTCTATTTATCTCTGTTTGGTCACTTGCATCTTGGATTTATTCAGAATTACTTCATTTATCACTCCCTATGCAAACTATGGCCTCTAAATCAGATACTAAACTCCATTGCTCACCTCCTTATGAATAAGTTTACAATCTTCTTCATTTTCTCAAATAATTCAATGTTAGAATACTCAGAAAATTTTTCATCTGAACTATCCGTTCAGTTCAGTCATGTCCAACTCATTGCGACCCCATGGACTACAGCAAGTCAGGCCTTCCTGTCCAGCATGAACTGCTGGAGCTTGCTCAAACTCATGTCCATTGAGTTGGTGATGCCATCCAACCATCTGATCCTCTGGCGTCCCCTTCTCCTCCCACCTTCAATCTTTCCTAGCAACTGAGTCTTTTCAAATGAGTCAGTTCTTCACATCAGATGGACAAATTCCAAGTACTGGAGTTTCAGCTTCAGCATCAGTCCTTCCAATGAATACTGAGGAGTGATTTCCTTTAGGATGGGCTGGTTGGATCTCCTTGCAGTCCAAGGGTTTCTCAAGAGTCTTCTCCAAGATCATAATTCAAAAGCATCAGTTCTTCAGTGCTCAGCTTTATTTATAGCCCAAGTCTCACATCCATACATGACTACTGGAAAAACCATACCTTTGACTAGACAGACCTTTGTCAGCAAAGCAAACTCTATGCTTTTTAATATGCTGTCTAGGTTTGTTATAGCTTTTCTTCCAAGGAGCAAGCATCTTTTAATTTCATGGCTGCAGTCACCATCTGCAGTGATTTTGGAGCCCCAAAAAATAAACCTGTTACTGTTTCCCTTATTTCCCCATCTACTTGCCATGAAGTGATGGGACTGGATGCCATGATTTTAGTTTTCTGAATGTTGAGTTTTCAGCCAAGTTTTTCA